CTCTCCTCATCCTCCTCGTAGGTCTGAATTAGTGAATTTCAGGTGGGTGGACCTAATTCTGTTTCACAGTCACTGGCTTTCGCTGCATGATTTTGAAACCCCTGTTTTGAAAGACAGGGACCTCTCAGAGCCTGCAATTCCTACGAAGCTCAAAGCTTGAATGTCTACCTCTTGCAAGGTCTATCATCAGGCATGACAGGCATACTTTACTTAAGCTGGCCATAAAATTGAATGAAATTCTGTTGAAGGTACATGTTGGAAATTTTTCTCAATCAGTGGCTGCGGTGTGTTTGAATGTCTGAACCCTTTTTTGTTTTGCGCTGGGGCAAGGTGATCTGGAAGACCAGGACTTTCTTCTTGCCATAGGCAGCCTCTGACTTTCCACTCAGCCAGTGCTTCTTTTTTCCATCCTTCTGTCCCGTTCCATTTTACCTCATCTATTTCTTGGATGAGGTTCGGGCTGTGCAAGTTTACCTCTCAGTCACTGCTTTTTTTTTTGGGATGCCTTTTTTCCCTTGTTCTTCCAAAAGTGATTTCAGACTTTCACAGGAATCAAGCAATCATTGTACCAATTCCTTTTTTCCAACAGACCTTGAAAAGGAGTACTTTGGAATCCACTGTACCAGAAAAATGAGCAGGTGTTGACTTTATCGAAATGGGGGGAGGGGGGGGGTACTATATCATTAACCTCCTCTCTGCTCAAGATCAAGCATTTGGGAGGAAACCATTTAAATCAATGTTCCCATGCTAAGGGCAGCTCCACATATCATAGACTGGTGTGGGCCCATTGCGCTTTGGGCAAAGTGCAGCTATCCTACAGGTTTTGTGCATTTTAGCTGCGCTTCCCATAGACTTTTATGTTGTCCCTCAGTTTTGGTGTAGTTTTAGAAAGCGCGCCAAAGTTGTAGCATGCTGGAGTTTTGTTCGCCCTTTATGAAACCACACAAAAACCGCTGGACCTCAGAAGTCTGTGGGAAAGCGCAGCTAACCCGCAACAAAAATCGTAGTTGGGCTTAAGAAAAACTGCAGCAGAACAGTGTGAAGCCACCCTAAATCACTTCTTGCTTATTTTGTCACATGAACCATCTTAGAGGGTGATTCTAGGAAAATCAATTTTTTTTTTTTTTTTCACCAAGTATCTCCATTTACAAGAATCCTCCAGGACAATGAGCCCCCTCCTTAACCTCTGTATATTTTACATTGTTACAGTGTTTTTATAGTCTTATAAATTACTGAGGCTAATTGGCTCTTGGGATTCCTTTTAAACACCCTCAGACTTGTGTTTCTTTGGGGATTCTTGAAAGAAAGAGTTTTTGGGTAATAGGCTCTTTTAAAAGTTATATTATTGTTACAACATTTTGAAAAGGGTGTAAATGTGTGTATTGCAGATAGGAATTGCATATCTTAGTTAAGGTCTTGATTAGCAAAAGTGAAACACTTTGTTATATAGCAATGAGCATGATGTTTAATATATAGAGACCAAGTTGGCATTTTCTGGCATTGCATATAACTTCATTTAATTATGTGTTTAATTGTGCATGAGGAAGATGTAGTGATTTTATGAGTGTGTTGCACTTTCATAGGTTGAAACAGGATTCCTTAATGGAAGTTAATGAAACTGCAAGCACATCTGCCAAGGCACATGAATCTATGAAAGAAGCCAATGCAGAATCTAGAAATGCAAAGTCAGATGGCAAAAATGGAGTCACAGATGAAGAAAACATTACAGTAACTGATGAGTCTGCAATGGCTGTGAACATTGAGGAGCCATACCTACCTCCACTTATACCTAATGAAACAATGTTTATAGCTAAAGTCAGCCATGTTGCTGAAGATGGCACAGTTTATGTGATCCAAGAGTGTTTGGGTAATTTTACATTTTTATATTTAAATGCACTTTGTTAAATGTGCTCTGTATTGGTTTATGTGACTTAATGCATAAAGCCTATGGTTATCAACTTTCTTGGTATTGGGGGCATCAAGTAGAGCCCCTGACATCACAGAATAGCTGCACATGATAGTTAGTGAACATATTGCAGTAGAAATTACACACAAGTTTATCACAGCCCCTTTACAAATCAGTTCTTTCATGTTTGTTACCTTCATCCCCCTTAAAAATTATTGCTCATTTGATATTCCTCTCCGAAAGATCTATAAAAGATCAAAGGAAAAAAACAGACCTAAATAGGTTGGGACAGCATAGAACCGGGAGCTACTTCATTTATTTTTGGCAGCTGGGCACCTTCAAATTTTCTGCTTTTTCTTGGTATCCATTGCAGAAGCGGTTAATGCTACGGTACTGAGCACTGATGTCATCCGTTGGGTGGAGTGTCACACATGCTCCCAGTGCTCTTGTTCCCACCATTCAGCATCAAGGAGGCATGTCTACTGCTTTGCAAAGGGTCATTGTAGACATTCCAATGACCCTTTGCAAAGCAGTGCTTTCCTCTTGGGTGCATTCCTTCTGCCTGGCTACAGTGACTGCGGTCACCTTCTACGATTTGACCCCCACCTGCTACCAGCTGTTTGGATTTTGTAAGCAGCTGAAGCCTTGCCCTTATAGTCTGAGCCTTATGTTGCCTAAATACCATACAGTCACTGTAAGTCTGATTTATAGCAGGGTGAGGGCTTTTCCACTGCAATGGGTGCTCCCACCTCACACTCCAATAGCTTTAGTGCTGCGTGCACTGCACTGCAGCCTGAAATTGTGTTTGCCTTTGATCCTAGAGTCTCTCCCATCTTCAGAGACTTCCGTAACTCTTGTCATGTGTAGCCTTCTCCTCTGCCTTCTTAGCTAAGGTTTTTATTACAGTCTTGAAAAACCTTATGGCCCAGATCACTTGCAGGACAAACTTTTTTCTGAAGAGTCATAGTCTTCTGCCATTTAATGTACCTGCTTTTACGGAACCAACTAATAAGCAATTGGAAGCTCTCTAGAGCTCTGTTCTCACTTGCAGACCCAGCTATTCATTCCGTCTTATCTGTAACCTTGCTTTGCTAAACCACCCGGTTGATTGGACAGGAGTCTTTAAAACGGATCTTGTTAATACTGCCTTTAATCCCTTTATCATAGAATATTTGGCACAAATGGTTGTCATTTTAAAATACAGCTGTGACTGGCTGCTTTAAGCTTTCCATCTCTTTTCCTGAATGGTTCTCTTATCAGTATACATACAGGATAACATGTGGAATCCGCATATAAAATTCTTATCTGCATGCCCTTTAAAGGAGGTCTCTTCAGATCTACTCTGGATACCATTATCAATGATGTTACTGGTGGCAGCAGTACCTGTTTTTCTAAGGGGGGGGAGAAGCGGCTCCTAAATGGCATGATCGGGTCTGGATGAAACAGTGGCTAGGTCCACATCCGGACCGCGGTCCACCATTTAGTGATGCCTGTTTTAGATCAAAGCTTATTCATGTGAATATATGTGTAGAATGTCCCAGTCAAAGTCCAGACCCAAATCCAATTGAGAATCTGTGGCAAGACTTGAATATTTCTGTTCACAGACGCTCTCCATCCAATCTGACAGAGCTTGAGTTATTTTGCAAAGAAGAATGGGAAAAATTTTATCTCTAGATGTGCAAAGCTGGTAGAGACATACCCAAAAAGACATGCAGCTGTAATTGCAACGAAAGGTGGTTCTACAAAGTATTGACTCAGGGGGGCTGAATACAAATGCACACCACACTTTTCACATATTTATTTGTAAAAACTTTTGAAAACCATTTTTCATTTTCCATCCACTTAACAATTATGTGGTACTTTGTATTGGTCTATCATATAAAATCCTAATAAAATACATTTACGTTTTTTGGTTGTAACATGAGAAAATGTCAAGGGGTTGGAATACTTTTTCAAGACACTGTATGTCTTTAGCTGCAGCCTGTCTTTTCTCAAGTCTGTAGTTGATTTCGGACTGGCCTTTAGTATGATCAAAGATCACTTTTTGGCCTTGGCAAGCCTTTCCCAGACACAGTATACTTTATTTTCCTTGGTGCGGGCCTTTGTGCAAGGCGTAATGTGTATTGTTCCACCAGTTAGGACTCCATTGACTCAGTGGGACCTCAACTTGGTACTTTCTGTATTTCAGAAATCTTCTTTGGAACCCATATGGGGCATTACTTTAGTCCCTTTTAACTTGAAAGGTCATTTTTTTTTATGTTGTCATTACTTTGACACATGGTCTTGAACCTGGCTTTTCTTTACTGTTAGGAACTGTTGGTGGTGCTATACTTCCTCAGTCATCTTTTTTTCTATTGTGGTTTCTTTTGCATCCCAGCCAGAATATTGTGTTGCTGTGTTTCTGCCCTAAGCCTCAGACACCAGGGATCAAGGCTCTTCATACCTTGGATGTGGTTTGTGCTATCTGGTGTTACCTGAAGGTGACTGCTACAATTCATCAAATTCCCTCTGTGTGTTTTCTGAAGGCCCAAGGACAGGTCAGTAAACCTCCAAATCTACTATGTCTAGAAAATTTCCACCATAATCTCTGATAGCTCATTCTACCAGGAGTGCTAGTTTATCCTGTGTTATCCGTTATCAGGGTTTGGTAGCTCATGTTTGTAAAGATCAGTTCATACTTTTAATGCATTTTTTCCAAATGGAGAGTCATTGAGGATGCTAACTTTTGGTTGACGTGTTTTGCAGGCTGCTGCTTGAGATTTTAAACTTTACTCCCTAACCACTTTTATTAGACACACCTGTTCAATTGCTTGGTAGCTTAAATTGATCAGGCAATCACAAGGCAGCAACTCAATGCATTTAGGCATGTAGACATGGTGAAGATGACTTGCTGAAGTTCAAACCGAGCATCAGAATGGGGAGGAATTGGTTTTAAGTGACCTTGAACATGGCAAGGTTGTTGGTGCCAGACGGGCTGGCCCGATTATTTAACCGCCTCCCGCCCGCCGTATAAGGAAATGACAGGCGCAAGGCGGTTCTCGTGTTCTGGGAGGATCTCATGACGTCCTCCCACTCAAACCGCGCCTGCGTGGCTCCAGAGACGCGCGGCGATCAGTGGTGCGCTGTGTCCCTTGGACGACGGCTCTGTAATGTGGTCAGCTGTGTTCAATCACAGCTGATCGCATGTAAATAAGGAAATGCCGGTTATCATCATTTCTCTCCTCACAAGCTGTCACGCTGATAGCTCGTTAGGAGAGGAGAGCCGGTAATCGACATTCCTCAGAGGGGGCATGTACACTGATGATCAGTGTAGCCCCATCAGTGCCACCTGTCTGTGTCCAGCAATGCCAGCTGTCAGTGCTAATCAATGCCACCTGCCAGTGCCCATTATTGCCACATCAGTGCCACATATCAGTGCCTACCAGTGCACATCAATGCCACATATCAGTTCCCATCTGAGCTGCCTTTCAGTGTCACCTATCAGTGCCAGTCAGTGCCACCTATCAATACCAGTCAGTGCCGCCTATCAGTGCTCACCAGTGCTGCCTATCAGTGCCAGTCCGTGCCGCCTATCAGTGCCATATAGGAGTTCTGCCTTTCAGTGCCCATCAGTGATGCCTGTCAATGCCCATCAGTGCCTCCTGATCAGTGCAGCCTATCAGTGCCCATCACTGCAGCCTCATTAGCGCACATCAGTAAAGGAGAAAAATTACTTATTTACAACATTTTATAACAGAAACAAAGAAACTTTTTTTTTTTCTTTAAAATTTTCAGTTTTTGGTTTGTTTAGCAAAAAATAAAAAACACAGAGATGATTAAATACCACCAAAAAAATGCTCTATCTGTCTCAAATAAATTCTAAAAATTTCATATGGGTACAGTGTTGCATGACCACGCAGTTGTCATTCAAAACATGACAGTGCTGAAAATTGGCCTGGGCAGGAAGGGGGTATAAGTGCCCTGTAGGCAAGGGGTTAAGAAACTGCTGGACTGGTATTTTCATGCACAAACATCTTTAGGGAAATCGAGACTCTTCAGATGAGCCTGTGCGAATTGTAGCCTCCGGTTCCTTTTCTTAGCTGACAGGAGTGGCATCCACTGTGGTCTTCTACTGCTGTATCCCATCTGCTTCAAAGTTGTGCATTCAGAGATGATATTCTGCATACCTTGGTTGTAACGAGTGGTTAATTGAATTACTTTTGCCTTTCTATCATCTCAAACCAATCTTCCCATTCTCTTCTGACATCTACAAGGCATTTTTTTTTTTTTTTTGGACAATTCTCTGTAAACCCTAGAGGTGGTTTGTGTGTGAAAATCACAAATGATCAGCAGATTTGAAATACTCAGACCAGCCCATCTGGCACCAACAACCATGCCACATTCAAAGTCACTTAGGTCCCCTTTCTTTCCCATTCTGATTCTCGGTTTCAACTTCAGCAAGTTGTCTTCACCACGTCTAGATGTCTCAATACATAGAGTTGCTGCCATGTGATTGGCTGATTAGCAATTTGTGATTCCAAGCAATTGAACAGGTGTACCTAATAAAGTGGCTGGTGAGTGTATTCTGGTTTAGTTTTGTAGGTCATTTGCTGTGTTGCCCTCCTCTCAAATTCAGTGCTTTGGGACATCCCTATCATAACGGAGATGAAGATACCCTGTGTCCTGGGATGTACAATAAAGAAAATGGGATTTGTTCTTAGAGAAGAAAACAGGGCACAGGGATCCCACCCATCTCTTTGGTTTATGACTTGCTACAAAAATTGAAGCCTTGCCTAACGGGTGGGGGGAGGTTATGTGTAAAAGAAAATTACTGTCTTTTTTCGCCAGTGTCCAATCACCTAAAGGTGGCAGCATAACTCTAATAAAATAGAGATAAAGATACCCTGGGCCTTTTTTATGTACCCAAAGAAAAGGATTTTTACAGGTAAACTAAAGTTCCCTTTTTCTGCATCTGTCACAGTTCTCTTGGACAAATAACAGGTTTATTACACCCATCTTTTCCCTGTGTTCAAAATCTCCATGACTCTTCTCTTACTCCCATTTATCTAAGGGAGTCTGTTTCCAATATGCCTGCCCTAGACAAGGCAGACACAGATGAGGCAGAAGAGAACATTGAGGCAGTGTTTAAGAAAGCTGCAGGAGATTTTTCTACCCCAGATTTCCACATTATTGAAGAGGAAGCTTTACGCAACATGTTATGGAAAAGCTCTCAGCAAAGTGCTCAAAAGCCTTGTGCAGCTTGATTCTCCTGTGTTTTCCCTTGCCTCTGAGTGCCAAGAGACCCATAAAATACTCTAAAACTGGGGGGCGTGGCCAGCCACAGACTGAGATGGCCGCTCTGTAATTAAGCTCCAGGAGCCGCTGAGATCCGCAGCACTTCACCGCGACGGGTGATAGCGGGTATACCCGCTGACACAACTAAGAGCCCTCTGAGGGTGTGGGGCATAAGGGAGACTGGATGGGAAAGTGGAAAATAGAGGGGCCCCGCAAATTAACAGAGTTCTTCACTCCAGCGGGTGGCCCCTCCTCCTCCCAAGATGGCGCTGATCCCTGTTCTCCTCTGGCTCAGCAGGAGCAGGTGGAGGGAGACAGGCACTGCTCACCCCTGCATACTTTCAGCCCAGCCGTGACGGCAGGCTCTGCACGGTCTTCATCTGCAAGCAGCCCTCAGAAAACCAAACAGCGTTGTTCCCCAGAAGTACATCATATGGGTGAGCAATCTACTGATTCATTTACACATAATTCTACAAGAGAATTCATAGAACACCTAGAGGATTACCCTGCAGAGTCTTTGCCCCTTACTGCAGCAGTAATGAAGGATATGTTAATTACTCTCAAGGGTTCCCTACATAAAGACATGATGGGTTTCATGACGCAGGTTAGCAAAGAAGTTGAAAATTTAGTTGAGCGGATAACACATGTGGAAACTAAAATGGGCGAATTCGCTAAAGCTCATAACGAATTAGTCAACGTACACAATGAATCAGAGGAGGATCTGAAAGCTTTAAAAGTGAAAATGACGGATACAGAGGACCGCTCCCGCAGAGATAATGTAAAATTCAGGGGAGTTGGCGAAAATGTGCCTGTTGTGGATCTTCGCAAATATATCCAACAAATGATTTCTACACTGCTGCCACACACTCCAAATGGGGAGATAATAGTGGATAGGGCCCACAGACTGCCAAAGTCCTCTTTCTTTCCTGACCATGTCTCTAGAGACGTAATAGCGAGAATTCATTTTTACCATGTTAAGGAGGAATTAATGCTATTTGCTCGGAAGAACAACCCGCTACCCGTACCCTGCTCGGGGATCTCATTATTTACTGATCAATCACAACATGCCATATTAGCCCACAAAAAATTGCTTTCCTTCACGAAATTGTTGCGCAACAATAACATCAAATACCAATGGGGCTTTCCTACCAAATTGCTTATTACTAAGGACAACCGTGTGATAATGGTTAATTCTGAAGAGGAAGGATTCCAGTTATCCAAAAAATGGGGCCTTCTGCCAACAGATGAAGAACCTACACCAACTAAAGCTTCTCCCAGAAAAATAACCCCTGAATGGGAACAAGTCGCAGGATGATGTGAATCCTTAAATTTTTCTGCCGCAATGCCTAGTTCTTTTTCGCTCAACCCACTGTGTACTTGGACAGCCATTATTCAAGCTGCGCTTTTTGGCATTTACCCCCCCATCCGTTACAGTGATTCATTTCACACAAATCTACATGTTAACTGTTACTTTTATTTTTCTCCAAATTTTTCTTTCTCTCTCCAATTTCGTTTTTACAGAGCATCAATGTCAATCTACCACAGGATCTCAGTATGTCATTCCTAATGTATCTTTGGGGGACAAAGCCCTCCTCTCCTCGCTGAAACACCTGGGATACTGTAAGCTTACCCTTTTGGATCATTTCCTCTGATGTGTACTTTCTACTTCTACCACTTGAGGGCGACCCCCTCCTCATTTTTGCTAAACCTATCATTGTTCTGAAGGTAGTTTCTATGAATGCCCACGGTCTTAACAGCCCGTTTAAACGTCATTCAATGTGGAAAGAGGCTCACCAGTTATGTGGCGACGTGATTTGTGTTCAGGAAACACATTTTTCCTCTAATAGGGCTCCTCATTGCTCACTTCGCATGTTCCCACACGTTTTCATGTCAAATGGCCCTGATAAGAAATGTGGTGTTCTTATAGCTATCAGAAATTCTGTCGCTTTTTCATTGCTATCTTAAGTTTCTGATAGTAAAGGTAGATTTCTAATTATTATATGCGAAATTAATAATATCCTCCATACTATTGTGAATCTCTATGCTCCCAATGTTCATCAGGTCCACTTTCTAAATTCCTTGCGAAAAAAAGTGGCAAAAATTCAGAAGGGTTTCTTACTATATTGTGGGGACTTCAATGCTATTATAAATAATTCCCTAGATGTATCACACTCTTCTCGCAGTTTGAGACATTCTCTAGCTAATGTATTATCCGAAGCCAATTTGTATGATCCCTGGAGATGTCTACATGCATCTGAACTCCTTACATCACAAATCTTATTCAAGAATTGACTTTTTTCTAACGGACATTCAATTATTGCAAAATGTCTCCTGCGCTGAGATTCATCCAATGATGTGGTCGGACCACGCTCCTATATCTTTGTCCATAGAAGAATCCTTAAAATTTTCCCCAGTTTTTCTGTGGCGTCATGATATCTCTGTTTTATAATCCTGCTTTTCGTTCTACTATTACTTCAGGTTTACAGGAATACTTTGATATTAACTCTCCTTCTAGTACAAATTTATTTAATACATGGTGTGCCCACAAAGCTTATTGTAGAGGTTTGCTTTTGAAATTGGCCTCACAGGCGAGGCGCGATAGGAATAAATCCTTTTTGGATAAGGTTGACAGGATAGCTAGAACAGCTCCATAAACAATCCTTATCCCCCGCGGTGTTGCAGAAACTCCAAACTGCTAGACTTGAACTTAAGACCCTCTTGTCATGGCCAAAATCTGACAAAAGCTAAAGCTGCATTTTATACGCAGGGGAACAAAGCGGGTAAGATGCTTGCGAGATATCTCGCTGCCAGACAATCTAAATTAGCAGCAATTTTAGACCACTTATCGAACAAACCTACATGTAGACAAATAGTGGCAGCGTTTCGCTCCTATTACTCTGTTACATAATCTTAAAGATAACCCTAATACTCCTCAACCTACCCCAGAGCTGATTCGTCAATTCCTAGATACAATTTCACTGCCTAAATTGGAGGGGCTTAATCAACCTATCCTAGAAAGTGAAATAATCAAGGCTATTAAAGCTTTACCAAAAGGGAAATCCCTGGGGGATGACTGCTTCGCAGCGGAGTATTTTATAAGGAATTTCAAACAATATTACTTCCTCATCTTAAAAGAATTTACGATGAAGCGATACTTAAATCCACATTCCCATCTGAGATGTTAAAGGCTATCATCGTCACTCTACCTAAACCGGGGAAGACTCCTGACCGTCCTCAAAATTTTAGGCCAATTTCCCTGTTAAACACAGATCTTAAAATA